TAGGTCTTATCAACTACCACTTTCGCAACTGGGAATTTCAATAACGGTTAGAGCTGAAGCAAAATTATGCTCAGAGGACACAACGCACAATAAAATCCAGTCCCTTGAATAATAAACAGTAGTTGTTCAAAGCTTTTACTAACGGGCTGAACGCCAAAAAGTGACAATTGTTATGAGCCACTGAATAAATCACCTTATCAGAGAAAGAAGTCAAGCGCAAAAAAAAGGGAAACAATGATTGATCTTTACTTGATATATTTTGATAAAAATATTAGTCATTAAAACTCTTGCTAATCATCAGGTTTACTTTGTTCATCATCGTAACAGTAACAACATGTCACTGTTGTTCCAAAAGAGCTCTGTTCACCAAAAAAAAGTTTTTTTTTGTCAGAACTAAAATTTAATTATACGGCCACTATAGGTAAGGTTTTATTCCTGTTCTATTCTAAAAATTTCACTTGCGACGATAAAACTGTGAGTGTTGCAACAGTTAATGAGTTTAAATAATCCTGGAGCTGATAAAAAAAAAGTTCAAGCTTCATTCCAAATTTCTTCTAGAATCTTACATGCAGCACGTAGGCAGTATCACCTATCATTGTGCGCTTTGATCTACTTCATGCCGAACTCTGCTAATCGGGTTTTTTACTTTGGCAACTGATTTCAATTTGTTCAAAATGAATACCTTGGCCAAATGCACCTTCATAATCAGCGCTTGCTGTGCCTCTGCGTACTTCGGTTTCAGACAGCTTCTCCGTGAGTGCCACTTTCCAGTTGCAGTAAAGCTCTTTTTCTCACAGGAATTCTTAGAGCTTTAACATCTATTTTCAAGCCTTCTGAAACTCATACATTTTCGGGACTTCAAGAAAAACTAATACTCGAAAACTGTTCTATCGTTATAGGCTTATTTTCTAGCGGTATTTTCAATTTAAACTCCCAAAGTAATCTGTCATGCCTTACACCTGATTGTATTTCCTTATCCTCAAAGCCGAAATTAAACAAGTAGAAAAAAAACGAATAAGTATTATTTCAATTTTCAGAAATACAACAATGTGTAAACGAAACTATGAAACTGCGGAGAGTCGGCCGTCTAAATGAAGCATTAAATTTAAAAGCATTAAATTAAATTTACAACTGTTTTAAAAATTGTAGAAAAAAAGAGTAATTCTGGCTGTAGCAGTGCACTAGAAGCTTTCCTTTAATCTGTCTTTTAACGTTTAGAGGGAGCAAGCGTCCGAAGCTTTAATCAAAAAAGCAGTACCATTTTCGCACCGAAGTTTCTGAATAGAATTACTCGGCCAATCGGCGCATTTCATTCGACTCTTTATCTAGGCCATACTAAACCAGAAACAAGCTTAAAAAAATTTATAAATAAGCACCAAAATACATAAAATATTAAACTGCTGAGTGCAGCAGCACTTTTGAATCTCTTCAAGCCATAATCTCCAACACAACGCTTCTGGCAAACCTCATTAATAAAGTATCCTTAGAGCAGACAAAAAATCAAATTTCACAAACTGATATTCATTTGTTACAATCAGCTACAGCGAAGCGAACAATATGAAGAATATTTATTAGTTTTGGCAGCTGAAAGCTTATACAATAACTCTTCGTTTGTCTGATAATCATTTAATGTGTATTCGGACGTAATTCCTCATCACTTCTACAGTCTCAGATGTGAGACGATTAGTAGAGGAGATATGGAGGCGCGAATACCCAACGTTCCTATACATATCCTAACGATGAAATTTTGCAATCGCGAAAAGCTTAAAATTAGCATTATAAATTAGGAGATAAATGATGACTTAATCCACTTCGATTTCAAAATTCTTGTTTGGGTCATACTTTTCCGATAAGGATCTTGTGCGCGACTTGGAGTCTGTGGGCTCTATAAGTGGCCGTGCGTTATTAGTAGATCGGAAAATCGATTCGCCCCCGTTCGTAAATCATTCTGTTGTAATTGTGTTTATAATAGGTAAAACTCATATAGAATTATAAGGAAAAAATGATGTATTTGACGTGGTGGTGAATTTTTGGGGTTTTTACTTGGGAGCTTTATGATTTTTGAAGAAGTATAAAGCATTTACATTTGATTGCCAAAAAAGCATAACTGCTAAAATGAAACGTTGTTCAGAATACAAAACCAGTAGAACTAGCAGTGACAGATTGTCGCATTTCTGCCGAAAGCTGTAATAAGGCAGAGGATTAAGAATAGGAGAGATAAGAAACATTAATTGCGAAACTGTGCAATTATCGTCAAGGTTAGCACCTTAAAAAGCGATTAGTTGATAAGTTAGAATAAAGAGGAGAATACAATTAAACCTGTCGAAAAATAGTAACCATGTATAGTGCTTAATTCACTTGTCAAGCAGAAACGGTGATAAGATGGTAAGGTGAAAGGTGCATCAGTAATTTTTTTTCTCTGTACATTACTTCCCCTACTGTCTGCAACTCAATCTTCTAAAATCTGTTTACTGTTCTACAGGTGAAATATCACAGTGATCAGGTCTCTGTGCTTCATTCATTTAAAGATCTCTTAGGCAACCATTCATGACTATGAAACCATCTAGTACTTTACAAATTTATTGTATCGAAAATGTGGTGTCAAAAGAGGTCAGCTGATATCACCAAAAGAAGTTTGAAAATAATTGCCGGTAGAAAGGTACTAGAGCCATATCAGTTTGGGAAAATAGATTCAGCAGTGAAGAGCATTGTCTAATGACTACTTACATTACTTTTTTGAATAACTGTTCTTCGCTCATTTTCTCTCCTTAAATTTTATTAACTTTTTTTCTGGGAGCCAGTTCGGCAAATAATTTTTTATGCTTACTGCATGAGGAAAGAAAACAAATTATGAAGGTCTAGCAAAAACTGAATAATTTTTCATCTTGGCTAAGATATGTATGAAAAAAATTCAGCTTGGGGAAGAAGTAAAGTTGTACGCAGGTAATTGAAACCTATTTTAGGATTGCTTTCTGTGGGCGAAAAGATAGTAGTAATTGGGTAAAAAGACGGATGGTTTGATAGGGAGGACTGGAAAAATTTAAATTTTTAATGAAGGAATTTCGCAGATAATTTTTTTTTGGTCAAGTTCTGATTGCTTAAAAGGATGTTGTCAGAGTGGTTGCTAAAATATTCAGATGCTTTATTAACTAGATGCTTTTTTTTAATTTTGAAATTGACGGTTTTGATCCTTCCGTTACTGTCTCTGTTTGATTATATTTCTTAAGGTCACCTCAATTTTGAGATTCTTCTTCTGTAAAAGTGCTAAGCATGACAAAAGCCGAAAATTCTTCATTTTTCAATTAGTTTTTTTCATTTTTCTTTTTTATTTGTCTGTTGCTGTTCCACAATGGTTCCTTTACAGTTCCATAATAAACACAACATTTATCTGTTGCGTTATATTGGTTGCACGACACAGTAATTAAGAAGCTCCTGTTTTGTATCCCCAATTTTTTACGTATTCAATGGTTTATTTTCTTCTCTAACAATTTTTTTCACTTAGTAATTTGTCCTTTTATTTAAATACAAATTGGCAAGAATTGTTGTTGATAAGGCTGTGAGGAATAGCATTGAGTCAATATTGTAGACTGCGTTATATTCAGTTTTTGTCAAAGTGCTGTAGTTTCATCGTTTCTGCGTTTTATTTTCTCTGTCTTCAGTTTTGTTTCAGGATTATAGATGTGGTCAGCAATTTCTGCTTACACAGTTGCAACTTTTTGAATATTGTTGATTTACAGATCTCACTGTTTTTCATTCTTTTCTTCTACGGATTTGATTACAGCACGTTGATCCGTGACATTGTTCAAAAATTCGTTTTTCATTCATTTTTTAGAGTGCTTATCATTTATTTTGTTTTTTTTTGTTTTAGTTAAAAGCAAAAGTTTGTTTAGACGGCACTCTTTTCTGGCTTGGAATTTTGAACTTGATAGACACTTTGATTGGAATGTATTATCTGCCAAAAAATTATTCAGTTTTTTCCCTTTAACGCATCTCGCTGTGCTATTGTTATGCACTTCTCTCCTACTTCTGTGCGCTTCTTACGCCTCCTGGAATGCAACCTTTGGCGATACTGGAGGTAGGGTTTACGCAGTCCTCAACTGCAATGTTTTTCGTCCAAATCAGCGTATTGGGACCAAAAAAAAAAACAGATCGGTTTCCTTGGATTAAGTGTAGCAAAGTCTATCTTCCGTTCTTCCATTCAGTCCTCTTGTTTTAAAAATGCTTATGATAGTTGATAAAAATTAACCGCGGGAAGAAGAGGAGGTGATTTGATGTGGGTAGTAAACCAAAGAAGATTAGAAAAAATTGACTACAGAACATATAAAAGTTTAGGCTTTTTAAAGTAGATTCAAAAACAAGACTCGCGACGCTTCAAAAATTCCTTACTTTCCTTTCTTCACCATTAGTTACTTCATGCATATGTGGGTTTTCCATATTTTAATATTTGTTGCTTCCTGACAGAGATATTTACACATGATGCAGTTACTGCTCAAATAATTTGAAATGGTTATCAAATACAGCTAAAGCTGTCGCAACTTGAGGCGAAGCAATCTTTTGTTAGAATTACATGGTCTAGGAGAGGGTCAAAGCCACCCCATAAACACTCGAAAATTAAAGACATTCAACAACAAACTACATGTAGAAAACTAACACCTTTGGCAAATTAGGAAATATAACCACCTGAGGTGCAGAAAACTTCAAAAAGTTGTTTCTTAACTAAATCATAAGCTCTACAACATCCATTATGCAAAAGAGGTAAATCAATAAAACTTTTAGTAATCATCATATCTGCTTCCCTTTTCCACATGTCATAATAATAGGAACATTTTAAATTTAGCTTAAGATAGCATCTCTACATTCAGAGGAGCCTCAAGGATTTGGTCACAGCAACAGAAATGAAGCCATAACACTGATAAACGCTTCAGCATTACAGCTATTATAAAACATAAATAACATTGACAAACGCTTCAGCATTGAAGGTATCATGAAAATAATAAACTTTAGCTAAAATATCGCTCAAAAGACCATTTCTGAGAAATCTTCTTGTTACAGGTCCTTAAAAGAACATTATCTCCCGACCTTACACCGTCCACATCAAGACAGAGTCCAGACTTAATATGTTTCAAAGCTCCGTCCTGCAAGTCTGGTTACTTACAACTATATTTCATACTTCTTTTTGATTTGCTAAATTTGTTTTCTGCAGCAGCAAGAAGCAAAATTTGGTTGTTAACCAAAAAATGTAGTCCAGTTAAAGGAATAAGAGAGTATAGCCTAGACTGTAAGTTAGAAGTTTGCTTTGTATAACCTTTTGATGCTCGAAAAGAACAGGCATTCTTGGGTTACACTGAACGAGCAATACTTCACTTGCGTTTGGTTTGTCTGGTAAAACTGCCGGACTGATATCGGCACAAGTCGTTTCACGCCTTAACTGACTATCACTGCTCCATGAAAACATCTAGAAAAGGTCAAAATAAACACCTGAGTACATAAAACTGTTAAATAGTGATTTTTCTTTGCATATCCCTTATTATTCACCACATTCTCCCGCGCCTCGCGACAAAAAATCTAAATATTTTGAAAAGACCAATTTTGTGAGAACACATTCTCTTAAAGCGATCAGGCTTACTTGAGATGCACTCCCGCTGTTCTGACAAGCGAATACACCCAAAACAACATCACCTTTATTCTCCAACCTCTGAAGAGTATCCAAACACAAATCGCCGTTATTTGCGCGATTTCGAACCTATGACTAATCGTTAGAAAAAACTCTGCTGAAGCAGAAACCGTAACATTCTGACACGTACTTTTCACGATTACGTAAAAAACAGGAACCAATTTGCTTATTTAAAAAAACACAATAACTTGCCAAACCATATGCCTTCACATTCTCGTCTGGAATAAACTTTTCCGGTATAATATTGTCCAGATACCATTTGAAAGATTTGCAGTCAAGCCGCTTTCTAAGTTCAATTCGTTCTGATAAATCTCCGACGTCAGTGTTCTAAAGAAGCCTCATTTCAGGCACATAAATTTTAGTTTGCATTTCTGTTTCGTTTTTAAAGAAATGACGCAATTTTATTTGTTCAGAAGCTTCTGAGAGTCAGAAGAGCAAGGAGACACTTTTTTGGTAGTAACAAAGAGTATTCTTACGACTAGACCCATTCGATGAACATAGTAAAGGCGCTTGTAATCATCCATCCAAACTTCAGCAAGTCGTTTCGAATTAGTGCCATGAACGTCTAAATTGCCTCCTCTACCTGTCATATTATACGGGTGTCCTGACCGAAATATATGGCCAACATGAGAGCACGGAATTATCTCGATGCTGCCGCCGCACATCCACACCTATCAAAATTGAGCTACTAGAGACACTTTCTTATAGTAAAAGTTTCACGTTCACAGTTTGGACTAAAACGCCATTATGAGAAAAAGAAATAACCCTGAAAGATATCTCTAGATTTTCACCGCCCCATATATCCATTCCTGAGTCATAACTTCCTACTTCGAAGAAATATTCTCTGTTGGCAGCAAGAAGTCCTCCAGCCATAGTCGGTGACCAAAAATAAACAAGAGTTATTACAGTCCTACGACACAGAGCTAAATTAATGTTCGGTAAGACCGACTAGTGAAATACGAAACCAACATTAGAGGATCAACTTCAGGATTTTTTCTACGCCTTTTTTCTCTTTCCGGAATAGGATCCATTTTGTAGTGTAGACTCCACCAGAATGTTCCAATTGCTAAAATGTAAGAACATTAAAAAAAGAAATCCGCCTGTTTTTGCAACAGTAGCTAAAAAGAGCCTACAGTATGCTCCGCCTCCAAGGTACTGAAGAGTTGAATCTGAAATTGAATCAATGGTCGGACAGACTATCGCGGTACGTTTTTCTTTTATTCTTTGCAGCAAAGGTTCGAGCCTAAAAGTTTGATTCAAAAAAATTCCGTCGTCATTTATAATAAGAAGTGACATTTTCAAAACACAATTCAAACGCTCCAAATGATTTAGAATTTTGTGCAAGAAAAATGGTTCCGATACTGTTGTGGAAATTAAGTATGCTTGAGCCATTGAAGTCTCTAATTTTAAGCTATTTTTAATTTAAAAACCTTCCATTCAGTTTTTATATAAAAATTGCCTAATATTTTTTAAAAGCAAACCATCCTGAGTTGGCTTCACAGTGAGAGTCCAAAAACACTACAACTTCACCAGTTGCAAACTTAGCTCCCTCTATCTTAGCTCTTATCAACCCCTGGCGTTCCTCCATTCTCTTCAGCTTGACCAGACCGCCAAATCGCTTTATGTAGTCAGTTAAATTTTCTTTCAGTTCCTCTAGAAAATAAAACCTTAAAAAAAAATGATTGCCGATAAAAGTGCTGAAACAGATTTTACTACTGGTGAGAGAGTGAAAAAAAAAAAGAAAGAGAAACCTCTTTGGCTAAAGTCATCTATCAAGACGATTTCATGAAGAAACTCTGGTGGTGATCTGTTTATAACAGAATGTACAGTACGAAGCAGCGGTGACCATGCTTCGTCCGTAAAGATGATAACTACAGAGGCCTTTGGCAAATCCTTGTTATATTTTACAGCCTGGCACGATCGACTACGAGAATCAGGAATACTGCGATCGAGGCTTATCTTATCACTGGAGCATTTCTTTCAATAAAGACTGGAAGTATTTAAATTACCAGTTTCACTTTCAATACGAGATCAATTTAAGAAACAAACCTTGCAATCACATTCATAAACCAAAATTTCATTTGATCCTGTGCTAAAACCGCCTCTTTCCCCTCCAGATAAACCCCGGACCCCATTTCGCCTGGGCCCTTACGCGGTTTTGAATAGTCCGGTATTTTATGCAACATTATCAGTCTTTCGGGTTCATTGTTTGATGCCGCAAAACTGTAATATTTATATAGATTGGTAAAACACTTTGTGTTAGACTGAAGAAACAAGTTTCTGTGCTCAAAATATTCCACATCTGTCATAAAAACGAAAAAAGCTTTTTGAAGAAAACTATTTTCTAACAACACCACTCAAGCTACACTTTCAAAACCACTGTATTTAATAGTCAAAATCCATTTAAAAAATGCTGTATTCAGAAAACGAGTCAGTAAAAACGAGAACAACAATAATGATAATAATAGTAATAGTAATGATAGCAAACATCTATATAAACCTCAGTTTTCGTAATCCAAAAAGTAGTCCAAGTTGATTTAAGATAGTAAGCAGAGTAACCCCAATTAAGAATGCTGTTATCCAGTGGAATATCCGCTCTTTACGACGTGGCAGCATATAGCTAAACATTTTTCCTCGATGTTCACAGTTTGGAGTACTGCATTACATCACTAGTCGTTGTTGCTAATCGGGGTTGGTCGATGTTTATTTGTGTCTGCTCAGCAATAACTTTTTACCAACAACTCTTTCAAAAATCGTTGCACACCTTTAATATATATGTTAATTTTGCTAACAGAGATGAAGAGAACTGAAAAAAAGTCAAAAAAAAAAAAAGAACTGTTTTAACAAATGGTCGATAAAAATTGTATATTTGTTTTTCATTTAAAAGTCATTTTTAAATATTGGTCTGTTTACAAAGCATGGTAATGTCTCATAGCTGCGACTATTTATGACCTAACATTGACCAGCTTTTGATTTATGTTAATCAGATAAAAACGGTAATTAACCATCGCGTAAAAACAGGCTTTTTTTTTTCGAATAACTGCCCCTTGTTCCTCGTCTATGACCTGTCATTGGAAATATTTCGTTTCAAAAAGTAAAAAAACAATACAGTAGTTGCAACACTCATCAAAACATCACGACAACTTTACAAGACTTCTTTGCTCAAAAAATATTTCCAGAAAACACAAAAAAAAAAAAAAAAAACTGAGGAGGAACTCAAAATAAACTTCATTTCCCTTCCCATTAACTATTCCTCCAAATCAGTGTTAGAGCATTTACTGCAATTAAAAAAAAAAGGCATTTCTAATAACCTAAAGATGCATTGAAAATAACATCTGACAACTACAGTAATGGTAAGCTATGTTTTAGTTCAAAAGTGCTGTTTTATAATTTTGGATTATAAGTCAGCCTTCCTTTTCTCGCGCAAAAAAATCCTCATACGGCAGGGATCGCCAATAAACCCAATTTTCTCGTGACGTAACAACTCTCAGCACTACTTCAACTGT